TGTCTTCTTTATGTTTTATTTAATCAGTACTAGAAGGTAGCTTAATTACTCTAATTATTGGCATATTTTGTGTTGTAATAAATTATTAGTATTAGATATATAAATTTATTAGTTAATAAAAAAATTTTAAATCCAAATTATATTTATTTTACCACATTATTATTAATGAATTTATTGTTGAACAATAAGATAATTATACTTAAAAGCATGTAATTAAATATTAATTATCAACTTAAATTAAATTACCAGCTTTTGATATGTAATTAATGTTGATTGTACCACCTGCCACGGTGATAGTGCGATCAGCGGGAAGAAGGAAAATGGAAATGGGAGGTACGGTAATTTTAAGTTTCCTTTTAGTTGATGTGGATTTGAAAACTTACCGTAGGTGGAGGAGTTGGTGTGAGTGTGAGTGGAGGTGTGCAGAGGAGACCACATAAGGAGAAAGAAGAAGAAGTGTGGCGTGGGAAAGAGGTATGTGAGGGAGAGGTGAGGTCTTGTGTGAGCGGGGGCGCATGGAGAAGACTAGGCCGCAGGAGGAGAGAAAGGAATGAGTGCGGTGTGTGTGAGTGTGGTATGTGAGGGAGAGGAGATGTGGTGTGTGAGCGGGGGCGTATGGAGGAGGTTGGGCCGCGGGAGGAAAGAAAGGAATGAGTATGGTGTGTGTGAGTGCGGTCTGTGAGGGAGAGGAGATGTTGTGTGTGAGCGGGGGCGCATGAAGGAGGCTAGGCCGCGAGAGGAGATAAAGGAAGGAGTGCAGTGTGTGTGAGTGCGGGCTGTGAGGGAGAGGAGTTGGTGAGTGTGAATGTAGACATATGGAGGGGGACCACAGGAGGAGAGAAAGGGAGATGTGTAGTGTGTGAGTGAGGTTCGTGAGAGGGATGAGATGTTGTGTGAGTACAAATAGAGGTTTGCGAAGGGGACCGCGGGAGGATAGAGAGGTGATTTTGGGATTTGAGAGTGGAGTATCTAAAGTAGGTCGCAGAGGGGGAGAGAATAAGGGATTTGGTGAGTGAGGTGGATATGTGTAAGGGAGGAAGTAGTGTGTGTGGATGTAAAAAATTTGGGAAGAGGAATGAGAGGCCGTAGACCATGGGAATGAAGTGTCAGAATAGAGGTGTGGGGGTGTCTCTGTGTAGGGAGAGGGGATGAGTGGTGTAGCTGTGTGGTGTGAGAGTATGAGCTGTATATAGGTTGGTATAGCTGCTGTAAATATGATAGTTGGGAAGAGAACATTACAGGTGTGAGTGTGTTAAGTGTTAGTGCGTGTCTTATGCAAGGACATGATGATATTGTGTTGAGTTGGTAGTATTGGGGGACGCCGATATTGGTTGTCGCTACCTAGAAAAAGTAAGTTGATCGTCGATAGTGGTGATGGTCGGGGGACTCCGACGGGAAGGGGTTTGGTCGCTGATATTAGTGACGGAAAAGTATGGTATTTGTGTGTGTGTGTGGCCTATTAAGGGTCGAGAGGTAGGCGGATTATTGGTGGTCGCCGATACTGGTGACGGGTCAGAATATTGGTACGCTTGGGGTGACGTTGGGAGACGGTCACACATGGTATGCATGATATTCAAGATATCGGGGTACATTTTAGTCCTATGTAGTCCTATAGTGATAATAAGGTAGGACTTAGGTTGGGTGATAGGGTACATATAGAAATAATGGGTTTCATATTTGTGCATATCATATTTGTAAACTTAATTTTAATTGTACTGAGTTATATGAACTCACTCTCTATTATTCACAGATGATGTAGGAATGGAGTCGGGATCGAAGTTGCTGGTTCCCGAGCCTAGCGTAGAGAGCAACATAATAAGGATCTTTATTAACAGAATTGAATGTGTAAAAATTGGTAGTAGAGTAGATAGTATGTCTATTGATAGTGTATATGGTTGTATTTCACGTGATATTACATGTATGGTTGCATGTCTATCTTGATTCTGAACAATAGATGGTGATAGTTTTTCTATGTGCATGACTGATTTGAAACGAAATTTCTGTATTTAATCATGGATTTGGTCTAAACTACGCTATTAGAAATAAAATAAAAAAAACTGAGCGTTACATATTGTGTATTTGATGATGTAACATCTTATGTGACAGATTTTAAAAATTTGAAAACTTATTAATCGATATAGATAATATAAAGAAAACTAGATGAACCAACTTAACAATGAGTAAGATTACATACTGAGGTAT